GGCAGGCAGGAGCCCAAAGGGGCCAAGAGGCGATGCCCAGGCGGCCCTCAGAGCGAGAGCCAGCGAGAGAGCGGCTTTTTATTGCAGGGAGCCAAGTTTTGTGGCGCGGTTAACAGGAAAGCGCTGGGTCCCAACTCCCTCTGACGGTAAGAAAGGGGCTGAACAACAGAGCCCCCCCCCCCAGGCTCTCCCTCCTCTCTCTCTCTCTCTCTCTATCTCTCTCTCTCTGCCTTTCCTCCACCCAGGGAGGGAGGGAAAGAGGGAAGAAAGGAGAAGGGACCCCTGCAGGGACCCAGGAAGCAGCCCATAGTTGGGAAGGAGTCAGGGAGTGGACAGCGGACCCTTGGAAGGGCTGGGGAGGGGATCAGGACCTCTGCAGGGATAGATAGATGGAGAGATAGAGCATCTACACCAGGGGTAGGCAACCTTTCCCCTTTAAGCGCTGAGGGACTTCAGCTCCCAGAATCCCAGGAGCTATTGGCCAACATGGGACTACTGGCCAACATGGCTGAGGCTTCTGGGAGCTGAAGTCCCTTGGCCCTTAAAGGAGAAAGGTTGCCTACCCCTGATCTACACTATAGAAGCAATACAGTTGGACGCCACTTTGAGCACTGTAACTAGTGCTCACCCTTTACCTCTGGATGGGTGGATAGATGGATGGACAGATACAACATCTACACTGTAGAAGTAATGCAGTTGGACATCACTTTAAGCACTGTGACTGGATGGATGGACAGAAAAAGCATCTATACACTATAGAAATAGCTTAGCTGGACACCACTTGAAACACTGTAACTGGTACTCACACTTTACCTCTGGATGGACAGAGAGATAAAGCATCTACACTATAGAAGTAATACAGTTTGGCACCACTTTAAGCACTGTAACTAGTGCTCACCCTTTACCTCTGAATGGATGGACAGGCAGATAAAGTATCTACACTATAGAAGTAATGTGGTTTAACACCATTTTAAGCTGTAACTGGTGCTCACCCTTTACCTCTGGATGGATGGACAGATAAAGCATCTACACTATAGAAGTAATGTAGTTGGACACCACTTTAAGCACTGTAACTGGTATCACCTTTCACCTCTGGATGGATGGATTGCTAGCTAGCTAGCTAGCTAGAGCATCTTCTGCATTACAGAAAGCACACAGTTTGACACCACTTTAAGCACTGAACTGGTGCATGTCCTTTATTTCTGGATGGATGGATAGAACAGACAGATAGATAGAGCATCCACACTATAAAAGTAATGCAGTTTGACACCACTGTAAGTACGATGACTGGTCACACCCTGTACCTCTGGATGGATGGACAGATAGATAGAGCATCTACACCAGGGGTAGGCAACCTTTCCCCTTTAAGGGCCGAGGGACTTCAGCTCCCAGAAGTCTCAGCCATGTTGGCCAACAGTCCCATGTTGGCCAATAGCTCCTGGGATTCTGGGAGCTGAAGTCCCTCGGCCCTTAAAGAGGAAAGGTTGCCTATCCCTGATCTACACTATGGAAGTAATGCAGTTTGACACCACTGTAGAAGTACACCAAGTTGGAATCTTGGGATTTACAGCATTACAAGATCTTTAGCCTTCTCTGGCAATACATGGTGGTGCCTGCCAAAGGTACAAATCCCAGGATTCTGTGATGTCACACTATATTATTATTGCAGTGTCAATGCACCCCAACATAGATTGATAGATGGATAAAGCATCTATACTATACTATAGAAATCATGCAGTTTGTTCACAGACCATAGTGCAGAAATAATACAGCACTGTAAATATGAGCATTTGTACTTTTACATGGTCGTTGGCCTTCACTGTTAATAAGTGCTAGTGCTTCCCAAAACTACAAATCCCAGGTTGGAGCCCAGGCAGTGAAAGTAATGTCGCACTGTATTATGACTACACTGTCAATGCACCTCAGTGTTTCTTTTTCTCTTTCTGCTCTAATAGCCAACATGATGAAGAATTCTGGGAAATCTGAAAGCTTGCTCATTATTTTATAAGGCTTTGGTTAGTCTTAATAAAAAGTAAAATACTTTTTAGTTTTGAATGCTCCCTTCAAGACTGCTTTCCCTATCTCTTCTTGTTTGTTATCAAGGAATTCAGAGATCCCTTATACAATTCAATCCTGTACTTTTTGCAGAGTCCAGTCAATCTTTCTCCCATGTAAGCATATGGGGTCTGCAATTGTAAATTTTTGTCTGCAATTCTTAGAAAAACAAAATTTACCTTTCAGAGCATTCACTGGAAAGACACCCCCGACGAGTCGGGAGGGGTTTCTTGTTGTGCTGGCCAAATAAGGACGGGAGACGCCTGGTTGGTCAAGGCGCGCAGGGGAACAAGTACACCTTCGTGCCTTGTCTGATAGGGTTATTGATAGTAGCTCCAAGTCTC